GCCATGACTTCCAGGTGCACATGCACACATGCACACATATGAAAGGGGGCTCTGCTGGACTATCTTATCTCTGCTAAATACCATTTTTTCAGTATCTCACTACCGCCCAACAAATACCAGAGGCAGGAGGTGGGGGCAGGCTTTACTCAGCCACCTCTCTGAACATCCTCCAGGCCCTCAGTTGGGATCAGTCACCAGAGGTCGCCATGACTTCCAGGTGCACACGCACACATGTGAAAAAATACCAAAAAAAGGAAAAAAGTTTGCATGTCATCCTTTCTACACCACTGAGATCCTGGTTACTGAGATGCTGCCCTTTGGAAGGGGGGCACAAGGTGGAAGTTGAAGGGTGAAGCAGCAGGTGACGATAATCTCAGATGTCTCCCGCTGAGCCACGTGGTGTAGCGGTAGGAGTGAAAGGAGAAACCCAGGATCAAGTTCAGCCCTGGAAGCTTTATCTATCTATCTATCTGTCTGTCATCTGCCTGCCTGTCGTCTGTCATCTGTCTATCTTGTCCATCCTACCTCATCCGTCCGTCCTATCTCATCCGCCCGTCCTATCTCATCCGTCCGTCCTATCTCATCCACCCACCTCACTTGTTGGGAGGTTGTTGGGAGGATAAAACGGGGTATGGAGAGCCACGTTCGCTACCCTGAGCTCCTTGGAAACAGGGCAGGGTACAAATGTACTATATAACTGTATGAGTTGTAAATTGCTTTTTGGGGGGAGAGGTGTTTTGTACCCCGCCCTCCCAGCCAAGGGCGGTTTACATAAAGTCAGTGTATAAATTACAATAAGACAATTAAAGCATTTAAAACAATGCTAAAACCAGTTAACAATAACATGATAAGTGCTCGTATTTGTTGTTATTGACCATCTGCCAGTTGGGTACTCTCAGCCTCACTTGTTGGGAGGATAAAACGGGGTATGGAGAGCCACGTTTGCTTTCCTGAGCTCCTTGGAAACAGGGCAGGGTAAAAATGTACTATAGAACGGTATGAGTTGTAAATTGCTTTTTTTTGGGGGGGAGGTGTTCCATTGCTTGAAAAAGTGCATGGCTATAGTCCGTAGGTTACTGCTTCTGGAGTACATGGTTATTACAGTAAACTGGGTCTCGAATCTGAGGGTCCAGAATGCTCCTGCTCACAATTGTTGGGTCCAACACACGTTTACTGGATGGGGCATTCCTCTTCTTTGCTTGCACGTGTGTTTTTGTCTGTGCAGATCCCACAATTCCAGCTATCCTCTTTTCAGGGGTCAAAGGGGACAGTTCGGAGCAAGAGGGATGTGAGAGGGGGAATTGAGCACAGGGCAGTCTTAACGGTTGGCAAGACAGAACTCCGTATCTCTCTGGCTGTGTTCACTGGGCTTTGCTACTGCTCAGAATTGTTGGGTCCAACACACGTTTACTGGATGGGGCAGGATGTTCCCTGCATCCCTCTTCTTTGCTTGTACGTGTGTTTTTGTCTGTGAAGATCCCACAATTCCAGCTATCCTCTTTTCAGGGGTCAAAGGGGACGGCTCGGAGCAAGAGGGATTTGAGAGGGGGGATTGAGCACAGGGCAGGCTAATGGTTGGTGAGACAGAACTCCGTATCTCTCTGGCCGTGTTCACTGGGCTTTGCTTGCCATGGTTCCTTTTGTGCATTCTGTATATCCTGACCTGGACAGCCCAGGCTGGCCTGCTCTCATCAGATCTCGGAAGCTAAGCAGGGTCGGCCCTGGTACTTGGATGGGAGATCACCAAGGGAGTCCAGAGTTGTTATGCAGAGGCAGGGAGCGGCCAACCACCTCTGAACATCTCTTGCCTCGAAAACCCTATGGGGTCGCTGTAAGTCAGCTGCGACCCGATGGTACTTCCCACCACCGTGTGGTCTGTGTAGCTGGTGCCCTGTGGGAATCTATTCCAGGAACTAGCAGTGAACCACAGAACACTGGAGCTGGGCCATCTCCCAGGAACGGGGATAGTCTCCGCCTCGGAGTGGCGCCTTCCCCTGATCTGCCATAGGTGGCGTTGGAGAGCACCTAATTGCCCTGCTCCTTTTGCATGATTCTCTCTCTCTCTTCCTCCTTTCCTCCTGGTTTTAGGTGCCGGATGTGTTCCCTGACCTTCTACTCCAAGTCAGAGATGCAGATCCACTCCAAATCCCACACGGAGGCCAAGCCGCACAAGTGCCCCCACTGCTCCAAGAGCTTCGCCAACAGCTCCTACCTGGCCCAGCACATACGCATCCACTCGGGGGCCAAGCCCTACACCTGCAGCTACTGCCAGAAAGCGTTCCGCCAGCTCTCCCACCTACAGCAGCACACACGGTACGGGCCGCGGAGGCGGGGCGGGCAGGGGAAGAACGCCGTCCACAATGCATGCCCGCTGGCATCTCAGCTTGGGGAGACTGCTCGGGGCAGCTCTGCCCGTTTGCCGCAGGTGGTGGTCTCCCTTAGGTTGTGTGGCGGGTCAGGGCACCCCCTCCCCTGTTGTGTGCTCACGGGTCCCCCATCGGCGGGCAGGTGCAAGGTCAGGGACCGCCCCTGATAAGCCGAAGGGCTGTCTAGCTGTCGGAGGCAGGGGTCTGTGAAATCGGGAGTTGCAGGGTCGGCAGCCTTTCTCCCACTCCACCCTAAAACGTATAGTGCAGCTTCCTTCCCCGGTCCTCCGGCCCTAGATTTCCCCACACACACACTTCTGCCACTGCTACATCTCCTCTCTCTGGCCCCCCCCGGTTTAGCTGGGCCTCGGCCTTTCCCTCCCTTCCGGGGAAGCTCACGGCATCGAGGCCCGACCTGGGTTTTCTCTGGCGTCCCCAGACAGCATGGTGCCGTTCATCATGTTGTCATTGCCAGCCCGCTGGCGGTCGTGTCCAACTGCTGCCCCTGCTCCTCCTCCTCCTCTTCGGCAGGATCCACTCCAAGCTCCACACGGCGATTGTCAAGCCGCACAAGTGCCCCCACTGCTCCAAGAGCTTCGCCAACACGTCCTACCTGGCCCAGCACCTCCGCATCCACTCGGGGGTCAAACCCTACACGTGCCGTTACTGCCAGAAGGCGTTCCGCCAGCTCTCCCACCTGCAGCAGCACACACGGTAAGGGCCAAGGAGGCTGGGGGCCCAGCCTGGCCCCCCGTGCCGTCAGCATGCACCTTTTTGGAGCACGCACGCCAAGCATGCAGGGGGGGGCGGGCGGGCGGGGAAGGCGGGCGGCTGTGTCGGACAGAAGGAGGCGGCCCGCCTGAGAAGACGGAGTGGGGGCTGCAGAGGAGAGGGCTGAGGTTGGCGTGTTGTGGCCCCAGGAACCCTTGTCACCCCCACCCCACCCAGGGAGCCCCAGAGAGAAAGAGAGAGAGAGAGAAAGGCAGGCATGGGCCAGGGAGATCCCACTGGGTAGGGAAGCGGAGGGGTGGCAGGAGGTGGACTGTGCAGAAGCCTCCATTGGCATTGCGGGGGGTGGGTAGAAAGTCACATGGTATTTCATTGAGCCGTTTCAGCCTGGCACTTGTGGGGTGGGAGGCTATTGGTGCTGGGAAGGGAGAAAGCAGGTGAACTGTGGGGTCATCCCTTTTGGTTGTGTTCTGGAGGGCCATGTAAAACCACCCAACTCGCTCGGCTTGGGGACGCAGATCTCCTTCTCCAGGCAGTGCCGCAGGTGACTGTGACAGTCCTGAGCTTCCCTCTTGCTTGTGAGCTGCTGACCCCTCCGCTCGCCTCTTTTTTGCACGACCCAGCACACTTTCCCCCTTAGCTAACCAGATTAAGCTGGAGGAAGCTGGGGGGGGGGTACTTGGGGCTCCTTGAGGTGAGGCCGGGCTGGTGGAGGGTCGTCTCTCTTCCGCTTGTTGGTCTCGGGGCTTTTGCGGCTTCGCGTCCGGGAGCGGGCTTCGGTGCTGGTTTCTTTCCTTCTTGTAATCCTTGCTCTGGCGCTGTTTTTTTTTTATTTTCCCGTGGTAGGATCCATACTGGAGACCGGCCCTATAAATGCGCTCACCCGGGGTGTGAGAAGGCTTTCACACAGCTCTCCAATCTGCAGGTAAGAGTGCACACTTGCTCCGTGCTACCCCTTGGGAAAGTAGGTGGACACATGTGCGTCCCTCCTGTCCTCCAGAATCTCTGAAGCAACAGCTGCTGGGGAGGGCATTACTTGCTCTCAGGCGAGAGACAGGCGAAGAGTGGCGTTGCTGCCCTTGCCAAGTCCTGATGCACCCTAGAGCTTGTTCCTTCGTGCCCTGGAACCGAAAGTGCAGAAAAGGAAGTCCGGCAAGGCATGATCGTGGACAGAGCCCGGGGTGACAGGCAGAAGAGTTACTTTGCGCAAGAGGAAGCTGACAGACTTAGAAGAATCCTGACGATGTTTCCTGCAATCTGTGGAATCGAAAACAAAATCTTAGCTCGTTGCTATTAGGCTGTTATTATTAGTGTTGTAGGTTTACGATTGATAAAGGTTTGTTGGGCACTGTGCAGCAGATGAAACGGCCATCTCGTCGTGCCGTGGGTTTACTGCTTTGAAATAAAATTCCTTCAGGTGCTTTGCTTTCAGGGAACCATCGAGGGCTTTAAAACGCATGTCTCTCTTAAAGAGTGAGCAAGAACACTCCTGTGTGGGTGTTTTCTGTTATTGCTGTGCGCTTTGGCCTAGTGTTTAATTTCATGCAATAGTCGCAAGAGGGTTGGTAATAGTTGGTAAGATGCTCCCCCAATAGGTAGCTCAGAACATCTCTGCAGTTTAGGTGACTGATTCTTAACACCCATGTGAATCTTGGCACCCCTGGAATGGTCACAAGGTCCGAGCAGTTGCTCCGGCTTCACCGGGTATCACAAAGGGGAAGAAAGATCCGTTACCATATGTCTGTGCACAGATTCAGCATGCGTTGAAAGTACGAAAGGGATTGCAAAGCAATGCTGGCTGTTCTAACATTTGGGTTCTCACTTGAGGATTTTGGAGAGAGAAAGAAGCTGTAGGATGGGTGTTTTTCTGCATCCCACTGTGCAGATCCGTTTGAGATGCAGAGAGCTGGGGAAGGGTGGGAGAACGGAAACAGAAATGGCCAGAACAGGAAGAGAAATTGGTGGAACGAAGGCACGAGAGTTCAGATAGATTGATCAGAGTGCTTTTCATGGGAGTACAGCTGATAGAACGTGGAGGGGGGGGGAAGCTAAAACAAGGGCAGGGCTCCCTAGAATTCCCAAGAAAGGCAGGAATATAAAATAATAACCCACTGGAATGTAATGATCTCAGGCGGAAAACTGTAGTGCAGTGTGAACCAGTATACTCATGTGTATAAAATTATCAGATCTTTTTGTGATAAAGAGGTAGTCCAAAATCAGTGTAACAAGATCAATGAAATATCCAGCATAATAATGTAAGAAGGGCCCTGCTGGATCAGAGCAGTGGTCCCTCTAGTCTAGCAACTTGTCTCACACAGTGGCCAGCCAGTTCCTCTGAAGGGCCAACAACAGCACATAGAGGCTGAGACTTTCCTTTGATGTTGCCTCCTGGCATTGGGATTCAGAGGTTGACGGCCACTGAACGTGGAGGTTCCTCTCAGTCACCATGGCTAGTAGCCACCGATAGACCTATCCTCCTTGAATCCATCTAGTCCTCCTTTTAAAGCTGTCTGTTCCTGTGACCATCACTGTGTCCTCCGGCAGCAAATGCTACATTTTAATCACTCGCTATGTAAAGAAGTATTTCCTTTTGTTCGTCCATAATCTGTAACAGATTATTCACGATTAACACAAATGTGTGCAATGGAATATGAGATCCCGGGTGAAAAAAATTATCTCATTATCCTTCCGATACCTTCTTTGGATTGAGTGAAGAATATAAGGCCACGTCCGTACTGTTACTCATCGTAACAGGAGCTGCGGGAGTCATAACAATGCTCGTGGCTCATAATAATCCTCGTAGTGATTTTACGGGCGTGAAGGTGGAAAGCAATAATTAAAATTAAAGCACTAAATCGTAAAGAACATAAGAACATAAGAGACGCCAATGTTGGATCAGGCCAAAGGCCCATCCAGTCCAACACTCTGTGTCACACAGTGGCCAGAAATACCAGTGCCATCAGGAGGTCCACCAGTGGGGCCAGGACATTAGAAGCCCTCCCACTGTTGACCCCCCCCCCAAGCACCAAGAAGACAGAGCATCACTTGCCCCAGAGCCCCTAGATCTAAGAGGCCAGGGACTAGACTCAGTCCTGAAATCAGTGTCTCGCACGCATAACGTGGACTTGTACAGAGTCAAAGCCATTGGTTCCTGTAGCCCAGTATTGTCCACACTGCAGCAGTCACCTTGTGGTGGTGGCCCTTGAACTGGAGATGCTAGAGGTTGCTAGCAAACGCCGCTAGTGCTGGAGGTCATGTGCAGCAGCAGCTGCCACATCCTTCTCTGCCAGGAGCCCAGGGCAGAGCAAAGAGGGCTAGAAGGTCTTTAGAGAACCCATGTCTTGCTTGTACAACTTCGGTACACATTATCTTTCGGGTGCCTTTCCAGCCGCAGATGATGAATTCTATAAATATACGCGTGAACCGTCCCCTTAATTAAAATCTTTCCGTTGTCACTGCTGTGGAGAGAGACATAAGACGTACTGCTTTGGAGTGTATTGAAACTTCAGGATGTCAAGCCAGTGCCAGGTTGGGAATCCCAAATGTCTAGGACGACCTTTGCAAACTGGAGTACAGAGCTGTGGCTTCTGGGTTTTGAATTCAGGGTCAATACCAGGAGGCATCAGTCAATCTAACTTCCACACACCCCTCTTCTCTCCTTGTCTCTTGCAGTCGCACAGACGGCAACACAACAAAGACAAACCATTCAAGTGCCACAATTGCCACCGTGCATACACAGACGCTGCCTCGCTGGAGGTTCATCTGGCCACCCACACAGTGAAGCACGCCAAGATCTACAACTGCTCTATGTGCAATCGGGCCTACACCTCGGTAAGAACGGCCCTGTGCTGGAGGAGGAGGAGGGGAGCACTGCGGAACTGAACTGAAGCAGCCCTGGGAGAGACGGGTTCTTGCCAGGTTTATTTCTCTGACTCTCTGGTTTCCCCCCCCCCTTCTGTCGCAGGAGACGTATCTGATGAAGCACATGCGGAAACACAACATCCCTGACCCCCAGCAGCAAGTGGCCCAGGTGCAGGCCCAGGTGCAGGCGCAGGTGCAAGCCCAGGTGCAAGCGCAGGTGCAAGCTCAAACACAGGCGTCGCAGCAGCAACAGCAGCAGCAACAGCAGCAGCAGCAGCACTTCCAGTCACAGGGTGGCGGGGCGGCGGGGGGCCCGTCCGGGGACAACCCTCCCAACCCCCCGCCCCAGTGTTCCTTTGACCTTTCCCCTTACAAGACTTCAGAGCACCACAAGGACATCTGTCTCACAGTTAGCACCAGCACCATCCAAGTGGAACACCTTTCTAGCTCCTAGAGACCTTGGCAGAAGGGAGTGGAAAACTTGTGGTGCAGAGCCCGTGCTCTAGGGGGCATTTCTTATGCGATGGCCTCTTCTCACACGACAGCCTCTGGCCCTCTTCTCTCACAGCTTCCCTCTGGGGGAGGGGAACGGGTGGGTCATATCCATTTAATGGCCTCCCCCCCCTGCTCGCCGGCGACCCTTAACGCCTCCGGGGGCACTGTGGCGAGTCTCGAATCGGGGGAAAGGAGCTCCCTTTTTGTCGGGGAGGGGTCCTTTCCTTCGGCGAGCGTCTTTGGTTTGTCAAAGGAAGGCCTCCCCCCCCATTTCTGTCTCCTTTTTTTAAGGTGAAAGCGCCCCCGTCTCCCTTCTGGTACCTGATGAGGAACGAGGGGTGGCTAACGGACGGGAGGGACTTCAACTTTGGCTGGTTGCTGAGTACCGAGGGCACGCAACAGGGAGACTCCTGAAGGGTGTGTCGAGTGGAGAAAATTGGCTCTCTCTCTCTTTTTTAATCCCCCCTCCCTTCTTTACGAGGGGGAGGAGCAGTTACCGCTCCAGGGCCACGCACCAGATGTACCTCTTGCGCAGAACCGCGGGGACAAAGGAAATGAGGGATATTGCTGGGGGCGGAGGTCTGCCTGGACTCACGTCGGCCTCCTTGAGCATTGTGGAGGGCTGCGTTCCGTCTGCCGCCCCCCCTCCCACTCCAGCCACCTCTGAAAGGACTCGGAAGGGGGAGGGGAGAGACTGTGGGTCTCGCACCCTTTTTTTTTTTGCAGCTTCCGCACCATCCCAATACGGCAAAGTCCAAACCAAAAAAAAAGGAAAGAAAAGCAGCCAGTGGTAACGAGTGCCAAAATGAACGTGGTCTCCTCTCTCTCGCTTTCTCTCCCAGAGAGAGGGGCAGAAGCGGTGGTCCTCCCGTCTCCCCCCAGATGCCACCGGCTGCGGCCTCTCCCCACCCCCCGGCGGCTAAAAGGAGATCCTTTCGTGGGGCCAGCGGGAAAGGAGACCGTTGAGCTGCTCCTCTCCTCTCATGGCATGGTTGTCCAGACGCTTCCTTCGCTTTCCGCGTCGCCAAGGCAGACTGGACTCGCGAGGGGGCCCGCGGCGGTCCCCTGGGACAGCAGGAGCCCACGGAATCCTCCGCAGGGTGGACGCTGGTGGACAGCAGACGGCAGAAGTGGTCTCTCCCACCCTGCGTGGAGACCAACGACAAGGGGAGGGAATATTGAAAAGAAAAGACTTGAGCCCTCCGCCCCCATTGAATCGATATATATCTATAGATATATAAATATACATAGATATCTATTCACACCCCTACCCTACCCAGCCTGCTCTGTTCCTTGCTGTAACTGTTTCTATCTGTGTTTATAAAACGCATTATCTTTGGAATTTTTTTAAAAAAAAAAATTCAATCCTTCTTTTTTAAAGCCCTGCTTCCCCCCATTTTCATCACGTTATGTCCCCCTGATAATTTTTTTTGCTCTCCTCTCCTCCCTCACTTCTCCCCCCCCGCCCAGTTTTTAATATTGTGGTTCCCTATGCCATCATTTCAGTATTCTGCATCTCGCTTGGATGACAGAGGGCAGAAAAAGGAGAACAGGAAAACAAATCTAATTGAGTTTCAAGGCAAGTAAAATAAATAAAAGACCCCTAACGGGCATACAAATGCCAGGAGGGAGGGGGGTGTTTAATATTGGTGCATCAAAATAAATGGGTTCCGATATGTATATGTTTTTTTTTCCTGTGTGAATGGTATTTGGCAGGAGCTGTGTGTACCCCAGGCAAGAAAGGTGAGGATCATGTGTTCTTTTCCACTCCCCACCTACTAGAGAGTCTGGCCCGTGGGGGTACATGGTCCACCTTCTGTGCACACTGCCCTGCTGGCCCCAGTGCTGGAAATAACTGGTGTGCAAAGACAAAGTTCTATAAGAAACAGCTGGACCCTGCAGTCTTTCCCCCAACACCTCCTACCACCTCCACTTAGCCCCACTGAAATTAAAAGGGGCAAGTGCTTAAATAGCTCATGATTGTGGTTTCACTGTGGGGTGTGTGTGAATTTGGAGTGTGCTCCTGTGTGTCGGGCATGAGTATGAATACTACAAAGCGTCTCTACGCTTCAGCAGTCGGTTTGGGGTTGTCTGCCAAAATCCCACACTTCCATTCATCTTCAGGTGTGAATTACCCGGCCTCCTCCGAGGTAGCTTTGTGTCTGTTGTCATCATTGTGCACATCGAATTACCCTGCTGTCTTTCTTTTTTGAAGTGGAATGACTTGGGAGGGACTTGTTGGGATTTTGCAGGGTAGTTCCAGTTATGTGGAAATGAGCATTCGCCATTTGGCGCACGACCCCCACGTTCTCAGCTCCTCAGTTGGGAATGCCTGGCAGCAGGTGCTTGGGGTCGGGAGAATCGGCCGCTGAACCAGAATGGCAAGGCTGTCTCCAGGGCTATTTTTGGGCAGGAACGCACAGGAACGGAGTTCCGGCTGGCTTCTGAGTTGACCACGCCCAGCAGCAA